ACCTGAAGAGGCAGCTGGCTCGACTCGGGGTCAGTAATGATGGAGGACCGCAGCATGGGTAACAAACTCACCTTATTCCTATTAGTAATCTTTGTCCAAACAGGAAACACGCATAATGTAGAGCGAATGTAGAATTAACCAATCAGAGGCCTCCTTTATCTCCTCCCTGCTATGCTATCTGCAGCACTGTCTGCAGTCACCTATAATTTTGGGGAGGTGCACCAGAGTGTCTGCGGATGGGGTTATGTGCGTTAACTGCGACACACACGCAGTTCTGGGTTGATGGTTCTCTGTGGTGTTTGCCTTGGTCCAGGCAGATATTGGTGCTTAATGGCAAAGTGGACTGTTACCAAGTTGGGATTAGGTGTCGGATTTATTCCAAAAATAGTTTTATGATGACTTTGGTTAAAAAAGGAAGCCGTGTTCTGTTAGATCAGCAAACCCTGTCAGACCAGCGTACTCGTAGTCAAGTCACAGGCGCAAGATGTCAGATCTGCGATTACCCAGCTTTTTATTTCTGTCTGAAGGCTTCGTTAACATCAGCCATGACCTCAGTTCTCTACACCTGCCTCTTGATAAACTCTGTAAACGAAATTCGCCTCCAGACAGGAAGGAGAAATGCTTTAATAATAATATTAATATTAATAATTGAACTTTTTTGATCCCATAATGGAGAAATTTACCTCTGCATCTAACCCATCCCCTTGAGGAGCAGTGTGGGGTTAAGGTTCTTTGCTCAGAGACACAGAGTGGCAGTCAGTGTGAATGGGGCTCGAACTCACAACCTCAGGATTCAAAGCTCTAAGTCCTTACCACTAGGTCTTAGTCTAATTTTCTGATTTTCTTTTCTTTCTTCATAAAGATTGATGTAAAACTTTGATTTCTTCCAAAGTAATACCTGTAATTTATCTAAAATATTTCATTTCTTTACTGTAGTGTTTTAATTATAGACCATTATGAAAAACACAGACCTCCCTCTACTTGTTCTCACTCATAGTTTCTCTATTTCTGTTAAATCAAATTAGATGTAAATGTTTTGTATTTTCATGATGTGTTTGGTTTGTTTCTTTTCATAGTTTACATGTTTTTTTTTTGTTTTTTTTAAGAAAGTTCATAGGGGTTTCCTGATCTGATATAGATATCAGACATCAGCCAAAGGAGGAGTATCAGAATATCTAAAATCTCCAATATTAGAAAACTAGAAACACGTAGCTGCTGTCTACTTATGGTTAGAGTTTGTGTAACTCCTTGGAGAATAATAAACGGATCTGTTGTTTTCATGATGTTGAGTATTGCTCGTTCAGAAAGCCATTCAACAGTAATAAAACCATGAACATTTTCTGCAAAATCNATTCAACAGTAATAAAACCATGAACATTTTCTGCAAAATCAGTAGATTAATAAGTTTACTTTTCGTTCATCCAGAGTTCAAATAACTGCTCTTTTTTTTTTTTCATATCTTACATCAAGAAGTTCTGAAGTTGTTGCAGCAGCCAGAAATAATTTAACTAAAAGAAAGTGACTATACCTGGCTAAATTTTTACCATAAGTGGTGGAGGGGTATTTTATCATAAAAAGGATAAAAAAAGAGGGAAAGCCTGAAAAGATCAGATATAGTCTTAAGATAAAGATTTTCTTTGCCTTTGAAGGGATCGACTGGTTAGAAATTCCTCCCTGATGTATAAATATTTTGCATCATCCTGTCCAGCATCTTTATTTTATTGGCGAACTAGACGAGCGCTCTTAAACTAAACGGTACAGGCGTTTCGTGATTACCGCCTTAGCTACCCTTCTCACCTTTTTCACCTGTGACCCATTTTCATGTCTGAACTTTCCATGGTTTTGTTTGGACAAACTAGCCTGAGACCATCCAGCTGCGTTAGCAACAAGGGTCCCTGTCTGTCTGTCTGCTAGAAAACTGTTTACGTTGCCTCAGTGCAAAAACATTTCTAGCGTTCTCAGTAGCTCATTGGAAATAAATCCTGATTTCCTGGAATAATCTTGGTGTAAACTGTTCGCAGGCTTGTTGTTGTGGACGTGGCCTTCTACACCGAGAACATCCAGGCCCTGAAGAGCCTCGAAAGACTCGACCTAAACATGGCTGAGATCTGGGAGCAGAAGAGGTGATGGAGGATCGGAACCTCCAGATCAAACAATTCGCCGCACCCAGAACGGAGGGGCGACCTTGGCCGGGAGCGGGCGGGGGTGGACGGGGCCCCCTGCAGGGACCAAAAACACTATTGTAGGAGCGGAGAGGCAGCAGGCTGGAGCCTCCTGCAGACTATCACCACCTCATCCCACTGTGTGCAGTTCAACAGAAATACTAGTAAATTATTGGAGCGGGTTAATGGGAGGAAGGACGGACGGATGGTGGGCTAATTTATTTTTCTGACTTTTTTCTTAACTGGCTGTGACGGTAAAGGGGATTTTCTTACTTTTTATACTAACAAACAAGCAGCTTTGGGGGGAAAACCTGAAGAAGTTAAAACATCTCGACTGTGAAAGCATCAGAAACCTCAGCTTCGCCCCGTTTTTACCAAAGCAAAACAGTGTAGTGATGTTGGGATTCTGCTGCGTAACCAATCATTCAGCAGGGTTTTTAGCCGGCTGCTATTCAGGCTAAAATGATGGTAGAAATTTAAAGAAGGCAGAGTAATCAGTCACAGGTGAGGGCTAACTGTCACACCGACAAAAACGCTGTCTGCGACCGCTATTAGTGGCTTTTCACTGGAAAATTGTGAAACAGTTGATGGGGTCGGATTAAATCCCCACATTTTTATGGTTCGGTGTGTTTCGTTCAGTAGCGGGGCATTTCCCTGCCTCTGTACAATCAGTGAGAGGGAAACTAGAGGCGCTTCGCTCTCCCACAAAGACAAAAGCATCGAAATCCAGGGAGAGGAAGCTACTCGACATTTGACAGGGATGTGTGCTGCTGTGCGTTCGCTGCCAGTTTGAAATCGGTGAACTGGAAAACATCTGAGCACATCTGTCTCCTGTTTGACGCTGAAAGCATGAACGCTCATCACTGTTTGCTTCAGAAGTGCCTCTTTTACGAACGGCTGTTAGAGACCACGCATCAGAGCCGAGTGCCTACCATACCACTGTGTGTCTGCATGGGAGAGGGAACGCCTGAGTCCAGGAGCACGTATGAGAGTCCAAACCGCCGTGATTTTCAATCCTGCTGTGAATAAAATGGAATGATGGATGATTACATCTTTGGCTGCTTTGTCTTCTGTCAATCAGGTCGATTATTTGACATCTTATCTGATACTGTTTAAAAATATATATCACATCTATTCTTTGAAGAAGGAAACTTTATTTTCAGGTTCAAATATTTCTAATAAGTGCAAAAAACAAACTTAAAAGTTCCCTTAGCATTTTGTAATGTTTTCTCTGCATTATGCTGGTGAAGATTCTCAGTCATTCAGGTCATAGTCATTCCAAAAAAGTTAAATAAATAAAATCCGCTGTTTGAAAATGTTTCGCTTTCCATCCAGGAAGCTTTTTCAATTCAAAATGTCAGAAATAAT